ATTTTGTATGCAAGTGGCGCAAGATAATATTCTGCGCTGAGTGATAAACGAGATAGCTGGAAGCTAAGCGCTAGAAAAAAGTAAGTTGGGTACTAGAAATAAACATACTTACGTACATAAATACAAAAATGTATATATTTACAGTACAAATACCAACAATTTCTTATACAATACATACATACTCGTATATACATCTTTAATAAATTAATTCATATGCTCGTATGTACATATGTACATATATGCACAATAATTGTTGTACAAAGAAAAGTATATCACGCGATTCTCTTGTTTACCTGTCTTTTATTTGTGTCTACATACATCCATCCATACATATATACATATGTACATACTTCAGTATCTGATTTTATGATTTTTTTCTTCACCTTCTTGATTATTTTCTTTTAAGCAAAACGAGCAAAGTATTTATGTATGTAGCAGCAGCGGATGATGACGTTGAGAAAAAAAAGATAATAAAGTAGAGAAGTAGATTTAATTTTAAGATCACTGAGTCATCATTTTTATCGGTGAAGACTTTTCAAAAAAGAGAAAAAAAAGTTTAATTTCCCCCCCCTGAGTTACAGTGAAAAATGTATGGTCGACGAGATTCAGCACTTTATTGTGTAATATCAGATGAGCAAGCATGTTTTAGCGTAGAGGATTTTTAAAACAAGTTTCTCAACTGCGGAGAGTCATCATGTCCGCCATGAGATCTGAAGAGGTAACAGCTCTGCGCTTTAATATTCTGCATAGAAATAACCAGAATTCTTGAGCGCGACAGAAGCTCAGTCGATGTGCTTAAAACGATTTTGTATATCGAGCCAAATCCATTGTTAAGAGGAGAATATTGTGGTTCCTTTGGTTCTTGGATCCTCTGAAATATTAACGCTGACATCACCACTATTTAGAAGATGCGAAGAGCGGAGCAAGGACGTTGGATGAAACTTGAATTTACGTGGAAAATGTAGCCAATGTGAGTATTGAGGCGTTTGACAAACTCGGAAACCTTATGGCCGACATCACTGCTATCCAGAAGTAGAGATGGACGGAGCAAGAACGTCGGCTTAACAGGAGATGCCACAGATGAAACAAGTAAGGAGCCTTGAGTCATTAAAAACGGAGACAAGGATTCAGTGGAGCCAATGCGTGTTGTTCGATGGAATTTCCGGTCTGGGCAGCACATACCCTTGAATCACATCAGAAACGAGGCCATAGAGCGAACGCAAGTACCAACCTGCTTAACAGGAGATGTCGACGATACTCAGCTGATTGCTGTCCTTTAAAATATTAAAGTAGCAATTACCACTGAACAGGATGGGCGATAGATGGAATAAATACGATAGAGGGAACATCTGAAGCTAGTTCAACTAACTTACATGGCATTGATTAGAATGTATGTTCATATGTTGGATTAACCGGGGTTGGTAGGTCGTGTTTGTTCGTCCCTAAGAACGCCCATGCTTTCCATGATGTATAGAATGGACATGTGCAAAGGACGAAAAGAACGCTTTATGAAACCATCGACAGGGGAACCGAAATATTTAGACACCCTCAGAAAATATTTATACATACACACTATGTCTCTCCACACAACAACTACATAAGGAAGTAGGTGGGTATTTACAGTGTATAACCGAAGACGCACCTAGGCTTTTAGGAACTCATTATGAAACCAGCGGAACTAAAATCTTCTTACACTACAATATCTTCTCTGAAGTACTCGCTTAAACAACTATGTTCACAGCTAACCCCCTCCACCACAACCAACATCGATTACTCAGTAGAAAACATAAAAATCAAATCTGAATGTGTACCACTCTTTAGAGTCCAGAACAACTCAGTGGGTCGTCGCGGCGCATGGCGCAGCATTAATGTGGCTTTCGTCCTTCGAAGCGTTGTTTGCAAACAGCAGGACTACATACAAGCATATAAATATAAATAAGGATGGATGCTTGTGTTTGACAACCCTCAAAGAGGAGGAAAGCTTTGTACATACATACATACGCATAGTCATTTGTATGTATGTAGGACATGAATGATGTCAAGCGAATGTCGAGCTGATGTATATACATACATATACGGCAAATCTAGCTGCCGAGGAAGGAAATAAAAACCTTAGTAAAGCAAAACAAAAATGGAACAACACGCTGCTGCCGAAGTCAACTCAAAAGCCACCCCAACAGGCAGTAGAATGAACACAAAGCGAAGTTACTCGTACACTCGAGTGTATGTACATACGTACATACATATGTATGCATAAGTGCAGAGGTTTGTATAGGAATTTGAATTTCAAACTGACAGTTAGTTGAGAATCCCGGCGACTGCGGCAGCGAGCTGGCGTTGACGCATTGTTGTCATGACAACGAATCTGCAGCTTGGCTGCTTAGCTGCGGGGCAATTTCTCTATACACTTCATTGATAAAATATGCGCGGCGCAGCTATCGGCGGGTGGTTGGTGTTGGGTCAAATTTGGTTTTTGTCACTGTGCTTGCGATGCTGCAGGACTTTCGTATGTACATATACAGCATATTGGTATGCAACCAGTGAAAATGTATGCACGCACTGTCTGCAAAAGCTGGAGTTTTTTTTTTTGTTGTATTTGCAAATGCATTCCGATGCAGATCTCTCTGTTTTGCTAGACGCGACCTTTGGAGGCTGCATAAGAAGAGGTGGTTGGTTGCAAGCAGTGTCCTTGCGAGTTTTTTTCTTCAATTAGAAGCGTTAAATATATACATATATGCATATGTAAGCACTTTCATTAGCAGTGAAAGTTTTAATTCTAATTTTTAAACACTATTTTTAAATTTTGTGTAAATAGAAAAAAAAAAAACAATTCACCTACCTTTGATTCACAATTTTATATAATTTTTTTGTTATTTCTCTTTTTTATGTATTTATTCTTTTGCCTTTCTTTGGCACGTCGAAAAGTTGAAATTTGCCACAGTTAAAATGCAAAACAAAAAAAATCACACACATAAAACTTTTAATATTAATTATAAAACAAATTTTTTAATTAAAATTTATCTCTCGCTATTTGCTACGCTTCGTAATTCTTTTATTATTTTTTTCTCACACTTTTGACTTTTCAGCAAATATTACCGATTTTTTTTCATTTATTTTTCTCTACTTTGCTTTATATAGCTTTTAAGGTATTAATCTTATCTGAAATGTTGTACATTTGTATTTAGTTATATGTATGTGTATTAAACAGATAAACACTTAATTTACGCGACTTTATTTACTTTCTTGCTTTATTTACTTTTCATTTATTTTTTGGCAACACTTTCTTACATTTATCATTTCTTTGTGTCTGATTAGTGTATTTTTGCCTGTGTGCATGCACTTTTATTGTATTTTGCTTTACCAAATAGACAAAACAATTTATTTTTTCGCCTGCACTGCCAGAATTTCCTTATAAACAACAACTCATTTCTCCAACTGAAGCGCAAGTGCAACAAAAAAAAATGTGCAACAAATAGCCAAATCTTTATTTTCTTTCTTTGCGAACAAGAATTTTTTTCACCGTTTCAAATTGGAATTTGAGCGACGTCCGCGACCCAGGGCAGCACAACACAGCGCAGCGCAGCGCTAGACAATGTTTGCAAAAACACAAGCGTCAACAGCACCGCAACCGAACGTAAACGCTTTGCAAACAAATTTTTCCACGTTTACACTTTATGCGCTGCTTCGTGGTTGTAAACGTTATTTTACATTCTTCAAACCAAACATAAACCCACGCACGTACACACACAGAGAACTCGAAACACCTTCCTTTTTGCCTGGTTTGTTTTTTTCTTTTTGCCTTTGCTGCGCACGTTTTAAAATGCTGCTTTTATTTGTTCTGCCGCAGTCGCTGCTTACAATTGGCTGCGCAACCTTTTTTCTTAGCGGCAGCAGGAATTCTTTCACCGTTTTGCACTTTTTTTGTTACCTTTTCCTTATTGAAATTCTCTACTTCGCTCGTGATATTCTTGCTTTTGACAATTTGCAAATACACTTTTTTAGCCTGTCACATTTCACACTTTATTTGCTTGTATTTTTGCTTTGTGCAGGTGGTTTTAATTCAAATGATACAGAAAATGAAAGAAAAAATATGTAATTGGAAGAAAGAATTCCAATTTACAGCACAAGAAGACACGCACGCACACTTTGACATCCACTCGAAACGACGGTTAAAAAATTACTGCACGAAAGCAATTGGCGAGAAGCGGCGCATTGCCCAAACAGTCAAACAGCGCGGCGGATAACATTATTTCCAATCGGCCACGAATGGCGTGTCAAAACAAAAAGTCAAAAATTGGTGAAAATAGTTGTGACTTCTCTGGTTTGCTTTTTGTGTTGGCTGTTGTGTGTTATGCATGCTGGTTGTTGTCTGTGGCGACATAGGGTAGCACAGAGGATTGAAATTTTTTTTAAATGCTTTAACATATTTTTGCATTATTTTACGGTTAAATGTTTACAAATTTTATTGCTTATCTTTAGGCGTTCTGAAAAAATCATTTCCTGCTTACCCAGAGAACCAGAGAAATTAAAATAACGAGAAGCAGAGAACTTAAAATTACGAGAAGCAGAGAACTTATAATAAATAAAATAAATAAAATTATTTTAAGTTCTCTGGACTAGGACTTGGTATTTTCAGATTTAACAGAAAAAAACTGAAAGTCTCCAACTGGCTGAACTGAGTGATTGGATGTTGCAAGATAATACCTTAACTATGGGCTGATAGCTGATCCGTCGAGATGACTTGGGAATCGTGGGAAAAAAGATGTGCATTAGTGATTGGCAGTGTCCAATAAGCCCCACCCAAAAATGGTGTTCTTTGCCAGAAGAGAGCCAAGCACATTTGGCAGAATGCCAGACATCACGGTACGATATCACGACGAAACGGCCGAGTTTCCGTTTCCGACTCACTCTCATAAATTGCTAGGACGCAACTTAACACTACATTAATTAATACCAGCACCAGTGCAAAAAAGACTACTGCTGTCATTTTCCGCTTTTTTCGTTTTGATCACCTTAAATAATTTCTTTTATTTACAATCGTTTTTTTTAACTAATAAAAAAGTATTTACAAAAGTTTTTTTTTTGTCCCATTCGTTTAGCTCCCAGCTACTGCCCTTCCGCCTCTAAACTGACATCCATTAACTCCTTGGTTATCTCACTCTTTGATTTCTTTTCACTCTGTTGTAGTATTTGCAAAGCCAACTCCTCTACTGGACGTGGCGTGAAACCAAATGGACCGCCCAAATTCAATGGCCCCCCTTTGTATGGTACAAATGTTGGACGTAGCCGTTGGTGTTGTGACACTGGCGTGACAATTGTAACCGGCGTCTCAGTAGCAGCCTGCAATTCAAGTGGCGGCGCCGAGGTTGAACTTGTAGTCGTACTACTGCTACTGGTGGCCATTTGGTAGAGCATTTGCAATTGCATCATAGATTGGTCGGGTGCGTTGGCAGATGGTGTTGAGTTGATTTTCACTAATTGCTGCTGCTGCTGCTGCTGCTGCTGCTTCTTCAACGGGTTCGCTGATTTTTTTCTGGACGCACTATCGCCTTTGCTGTCACTTTTCACATTTGCATGCATGGCATTGGACCAACTCTCCAGCCAATTGTTGGCTGTGGGCTCTGTTGTTGTAGTTGTTGTAGTTAAGGTACTGCTAAGTTGTTTAAAGGCTTCTTGTGCCTGCTTGCGACGCAGATAATCCCGATGTGCTTTGTTCACTTGTCGTTTATTGAAAGAATTCTCCGAGTCGGCATCTTCGCCGATCGGGCGTGTGTTCTTTTGTGGACCCAGCTCGAGTAGCACTTGGAAATCAGCATGATTGCCGAGTCGAAAACCAAAACCGAGACGCGAGTCGGTGCCTAGATGTGATTGGGTGGCATTAGTTGAATTAAAGTGGTAGATTTCTATAACATTAAACAGATTTGCTTACCTTTCTTGATGGGCGGTATATTGGAATAGATAAGCGATAGTATGGAGGGCAGTTCCTGTGGCACAACTAGTGGCTCAGCGCTGGGTACTGTAAAAAATTACAAATTTTTCATTCATTTGTTGAGAGAAAATGTAACAAATTTTATTATCGATAAATAAAGCGTAAAACAATCGATTTATATGTATATTTTTTAAAGCATATGAGGCACCCTACAGTTGTTATTAATCGAATCTTGCGGCATATTAAGGATTAATTAATTCATGTTGACACAAATAAATATGTGTTAACACTGAACAAAAAAAAACAATAATTAAAACAACAACAAAGTTGCCGCGTGCCTAGACACTCCAGCATTCCATTGAAATATTTGTAATTCCTCAGCTACTCATAAGCCCACACGGCTCCAGCGTCGTTAAACAAAAAAATTATTGTGAGAAAAAAGAAACGAACAAAGAAACAAAATAAAAGTTATATAATACTAACATGCTGGGCTTGATCATAAAGCCAGTCATTATGCAGTTGGTTAAACAAAAGCACCAACAACACATTTATTCAGTGGTTGCTCATGCGCGTTCAGTTTGTCTGATTTTTGTCTTAATTTATTTATCTTTTGTAATTCTTTTTATATATTTTTTATATTTTCTTTGCTTGCTTTGTTCGAAATTTGTATTGCACCTTGAACGGCTTGTGCGTCTTGCGAGCGCCTAATGGCCATTATGGACTTAAGCAAATTTTGATGGATTTACTTTTCGTAAGATAAGAGGTTGACAGTTGATCTCAATATGTATTTCCTTATTTGCCAATCGCTTTTTATGATTCATGAAATCCAGCATGAAACCGCTGAAGGCTACCAAATACAACACGCGGTATGATGAACTCGGGCTAAGCAAAGAGTCTTTCAAAGCGTTGGTATTGCTGGAACTAATGCTCCTCTCCCTGGGTTGTCTGTCTAACTCCAAAGATTGAAGTATAACCGGTGAATATTGGCAAGGTAAGTTCAGAAATGGAGTTGTTTCACTAGGTTTGAGTCCGAAACAGTTAGACGTTGGATGCTCTGCTTTGAAGGGAAATGTAAGGAGTGGGTTCATATTGCGCGTGAACTCATTGCAAGAGGAATACCTTTGTCCAATTCCAGTTTAATTACCTTCAATTACAGGCGGTGTGGTGACTTTGCGCTGACAGCGACAGGAAGATGCGATATTTATAGTTCGGAACTGGTGCAAGGATAGTGAGCTGGATGTATACCCCGATAAAACCGTAATTGAATTACAGAGCATATGTTTTAAGCCATCTAAACTGAAGGGCGTGGAGATCACCCTCTCTACCGAGGTATGGTATCTCGGCATAATCTTGGATAACAAGCTTAACTGCTGTTCAACGATTGCTGGAGCACTGCCATCCATTCCCTCAAAAGTACTCCTGACTCATCTTCTCTACTTCCTCCCTTTGGAAATAAAAGGGAAACTATAAGCGGGCTGTAACGCAATGAGATTGAATGCAACTAAAACCGGATATACAAAGGATTATCTCGTGCCGAAGTGCCAAAGGAGTTGGATTATACCATCTCCAGCGTGTGCTTCGACAATCTGCTCTCCACGAAAATCTCAAGCAGACAGACATAGTGGGAAACCACCAACGTACTGGATTAGGTAATTATAGCCATCTTCACAAATGGCTCGAGGCTGGATGGAAAAGTGGCATGCGGTCCTGGTCTGGGTACCTTCCACACATTCCAGGCAATTGCATAGCAGATGAACTGGAAAGAGACTGTAGCAACCACAAGATGGCAAACACAAGATGGCTGAATGAGATCACGTGCTGCATCTATAGGGTCGAAGAGAAGATGAAATCTATTCCTCGGAAAGCACTTCTTCGATTGTCTCGCTGCGCTCGTATCAGCGGAAATTGGAAATCTAGTTGCCTTTAAGAGGCATACGAAATTGCCAAGCTTTAGTTGCCACATGACCAGCTCTGAATTGAATTTGAGATGAGCCATAACTACGGATATATGAATTGAGTTGCAGTTCAACCAACATGATTTCAACCCTTTCTGGTGCAGTGGTTTGGTAGAATAATTTCCACATATCTGCCCCCAATTCTCTATTTTGCTCTGCCAGCAACTTAAGGATGGGCTGAGTTGACACTACAGCCGCCCTCCCATGACAAAGTAAGTGCCTTCATGACTTGGAGTTATCCCACAGCTGTGGAAGACTCACTACCATAGAGCGCATGGCATAATGACATCTTCAAGAGATGTAATTGTCACTCTATATAACGCATTTTCAAATATTACAGTGTCGATGTGAAAACCAGACCTGTCTAAAGTTAACATCAAGATGAGATCCACTTGACCATCATTTAACGCCACTTTCAGCAAGGTTTATTATTTAGACGACTTACGTCCTTCGGAATTCAGAGCGTCTGTATAACGTATTGAGTTAAAGAGATGGGTCGCATCGGTGTACGACCTGCAGCCACCCACTCCTACGCACAGTACTCCTTGTTGGAAGAGTGCATTTTCTGTTTATGGAATTTGCTGGTTTCACTTCTCCGGAGTTCGGAGCCGTTCTTTGGTCTCTTGTGGTCTTGGATTTAACCTAATTTTTTAAGCTCGCCTTATCAGAGTTTGAATTGAAGGTGGGTATGAATTTCAACTTTCGTGGATACTGCCTGGAGTATGATTAACACTTGGTAGGGCGGCCTTTCGTGGGGAGTTCTTACCCGCATAGTTCTACTTGTTGAGACCCTTACTAGAAATCAAGCGGAGCGCCCTCTCCAAGCCTCCTCCTTTCCCAACACAGACGAGGCATATTTTGGATCCTATAGAGCGATATATTCCCGCTTTTTGAACTTCCAAAAGCAAAGTTAATACCAAAAAGATTTATTTATTTAAAGCTCCCCAGAGCACCGAGTTTATTGACTTAAAGACACCTAAAAATATTCGCGTCTCGAATCCAATCACATATGCATGTTAATACAGAAGCTCATGCGTGAGAAATCAACCACATCCAAAGCGCTTCTGAGACACTGCGCGCAGTCAAAGAGCAAGCATTAGAGACGCTCAGTTAGTTCGCAGATCAGTTAGTTAATAACAGCACCAAGTAAATGGAAGAAAAAATTAAACAAAAAAAATATATATAAAAGCCAAACCAAACGACCTTGACACAATGACGACACAGCACTTTGAACGGCCAAAAGTCTAAGAGTCATAAAGAGCTTAAAACGAGAAAAAAAAATCAACTCACCACGAGCATTAGGTGGAAGGGAAAGAGGGTGACAAATGCGACGCGCGCAAACGCAATAGATTCGAAACCGGTTTTTGGATTTACTCAATAGTATGAGACGCGTGCGAGTATTTACATACATACATATATGAAGAGAGGAGAAAAATGCAAACTGAAGTTTGAAGCGAGAGTAAAAGCTGGTTTTTGCCTAAACTCGAATTAATATGTGAATATGTATGCGTGTATGTGTGTAACTACAGCGATTGGTTAATTAAATGTTGCAATACTCAAATACTTACAACAACAGCACATTAGCCAAATACTAAAAACAACCGAAAACATAATGCCTTTGGCGTCTCGATACAACATTTTCAGTGGGGCATTCATCTGGGTCTGCGGGTCGTATGGCTGCTTTGTTGCTGAACTGCATCGGCATTTATGGCAAATCTTTAGCGTTGCTTTTTTCTCTTGCGGCTGCTGTGGTGGTGGCAGTTGACGTTCACGCCACTTGCCGCATTTGTTGAGGCAGATATCAGCGAATGTGTGTGGTGCGCCAAGCTGCTGGAGTCTGTGTGTGTTTTATAGTACCGCTGGTGGCTGAAAGAAAATCAGATTTTGATATTTAACTTTTAATTATTACAGTTTTTTATCTAGCAAGAAAAAGAAAGAAATAAAGAAAATATTTAAAATCACTTTTAAATTTAGTTTAGTATTGTTTTTCTCCGAGTGAGAACTGTATTTTTTAATTGCCAACTCAGTCCAAAGGAGCACTTGTTGGCAAGATTGAATCAGCATTGGATGTCAAAGCTCCTATTGCTGGTGTTAATGCTAGCTCCAATATGGACGAAGTTATCTACGAAACCAAAGTGTTGACAGACAAGAGTGACGTGAGTGCCACGTCGCAAATCCGCTGACTGTTTGCTTGATGATAAGAGATATTTCGTCGCGCCCTCGTTCACTACCAGACCCATGTCCTTTACTTCCTTATCCAGTCTGGAAAAAGCGGGATGGTTGAGACCAAAAATTTTAATTCGGTACTTAGCTCAGCAGCTGTTATAAGCAGCAATAATTTAAAGAAGTCGCAAGGTAAGGATTTATCTGTAACCTGGTTTGGTATCGATCGGCTCGGACGGGCCCATACCGATCCCGCTAGAGCTTTTAGTGCTACTTAACGTCAGTTTGCACAGTTGTATAAGCTTTGCGGGGAAACCGAATTCGCACATAGAGGCGTAGAGGCAGTTTCTTTTCGTGCAGTAAAAACCTGTTTTAAAATCGGTGTGAGTCGATGAAATTTATAAATTTGTATAAACCGGACATCACTCCAGCCGTTTCCGGTGATTTGTTGCTTTTCGAGCGGGTAATTGCTATTCGGACATCTTCAATGTCGGGTAACAGAATAACTTTCCCATCGTCATTAATTGGGAATCGGGTTCACCATTTCCTGGTCTTCCATTTTCACTGTCATTCAGCAGACCGGTAAGGTGCTGCCTTCATTAATTCGGCATACTCTGTGCATCTGGATCCTAAAAGACTTTGCTCTAGTCTTGAAACCCTCGGTCGGTCTCCGCATCTTTTCTTTTTTGGACTTTTCGAGCATTACTCCTGTCGAGCTTCGTTCTAATATTAAAAAAAAAAAATAAAAACTAATTTGCTAATTGCGGTCGCGCCTCGCTAGGGAATGTCAACTTCACGTGGCCTTCATAAGTGCGCTCCAGGCGCTCATAAAAGGCCTCCTTATTCGTTTCGTGTTCTCTTTTCCGTCGGGGATGAACTTCACTTTGTGCGAGTTATGTCGAGATATTCATCAACCGGGGTGGATGTCAGTACTCGGCGACAGAGTCTCACCCGTCCATCACGAGTCCAACATCAAGTTTGTGCTTCTTTATATGACCGCAGTAGTAAATGTCGACTCAAACTCTGGCCTACCGAATGGCAGTACGCATTGCTAATCACTCGGCCATTGCGGCAAAGAAATAGTTACGAAGCAATCATTTCTAAATATTGATCTAGTAGAGAGTCTTTATAAACTCTAGCCCTTCAATTTTGCTCGATAAATCATCGAGCTTATTGGCAAAAAATTAGGACAATCGTTTAAGGCTAATTCTGGATTAGCTAAATTAATCGCCATAGACAGAAACAGATGGAATCAATTGGTGTGAGGTCTGAACTATAAATTGGATGCATAAGAACCTTCCAAACAAGCTCTCGGGCATATAGCGTATCACCATCGATGTGTGTGTAGTCTGGCGTTGTTCTGACGAAACACAATTCCTATTTAGTTGACCAATGCCAGTTGCTGACAGAATAGTTCCGTGTTAGAAGTTTGGCCGAAGGAAAGCAACCGATAGTGGATAATCATTTGTCAATCCCACCAAACACCCATCGTTTTTGCCGACTCACTGCCCTTTCACCATGACCATTTTCGTTCGACGTCGCTGTAAGTGACCCACTTTTCATCACCAGTCACTATCCGCTGCGGACATGTGTTGATTTTGTTACAATTCAGCAGCGGGTCGCAGATGGAAACTCGGTCCATGAGGATTTTTTCTCGGTAACTCATGTGGCACCCCTGAAATTAAGCTTCTTTTTGTATCCAGCCTATTTCAAGTCGTTCCAAACTGTTTTTTTTTTACAATCTTTAGCTCCTGGGTCAGACCCGACATCTCCATTATTTTTCAACATTTTCGACAATTGGCCTTCCACATCTTTTATATCAAAATTACCGGAATGAGTACGACAAAACCAGATTTCCAAAAAAAAAGGATAAACTTTTACTGGCGCCACAATAAATAAAATAGTTTAAAAACAAAAAATATTTTTTATTAATATATTTTCAAATTAAATTTTCCGTATATATTTTTTATTAATTTTTATTGTTTTATTATTGTAATTTTTTATAGTTTTTGTTTAATTTTATTACATTTTTTATAGTTTTTGCGCGGCATACCGATCAATTTATTATTATTATTATTTTTAAATCAATTTTTTTCTTGGCTCTCACTGCGTTTACACGCTTCACATACCAATGCTCAAATACATGCATATGCATATATGTAAGTGTATATATGTATATGCACATTCATTGAGCCAACGTTGTGAATGAAAAATGCAAACAAACTAAAGTTGTTCAAGGCAACTGGCTGCTGGCCCCCAAAAATAAAAAATAAAATATTTAAAAAAAAGCCAACAACAACAGCACATTTGGTAAACACTCTCACTTTTCTTCAATGGATTTTTATTGTTAACTATTGATAATAAATAAAAATGAAAAATAATTAAGTCGCTTATATGTATGTATGTATGTATGCAAACTTTATTTTAACTGCACAGTTTTCATATAAAAAAATTGTATATAAATCATTTCTTACTATCCTTTAATGATAAATTAACAAATTTGCACAAATATTCAATTTTGATTTGGTCAAAATTTTGTATTACTTTTTATTTAAATTGTCAAAAAAAAATAATCGGTTTTATGCTTTTTAACCTTTTTTTTAAATGTTTAACGTCACTTAATGTCATTTTATCTCAAAAACACATTTTTCAGTTTTAAAATTTTTCGTTTCTTTAATATGTTTTTTTCAAAAATTTTCGGTTTCAAATAAAATTGGCTTTTCAATTTTTCAAAACTTTTAATCAGAGGAATCAAATTATTTAAATAACATATTTTTACTAAATATTTTTCCCCCCAATTTTTTAAATTTTTTACGTAAAATTTTGCGCATTTAATTGTTTTTCAGAAAAAAAATTCGGTTATTTTTTTTTTAATTTTCAATATTATTTCTTATCTTTTTCAAAAATTTTCGGTTTTAAAAAATTTGGCTTTTTAATTTTTCAATAGTTTCTTAATTATTATTGCGCATTTAATTGTTTTTCAAAAAAAAATTCAGCTTAAAAAATATCGGTTTTCAATTTTCAATTTTTTCGGATTTTATAAATATCTTATAAAAAAACTTTCAGTTTTATATTTTTCTATATTTTTTTTTCAATTGTTATTAATTTCAATAGCTTGAAAAAAATCGGTTTTAAAGTTTTCAATATATTTTAATTTTTTTTATTTCAAAAACTTATACAAATATTTCAGTTTTAATAAAATCTGGGTTTTCAATACTTTTTTGATTATAATGTTTTTCAGTATTACAGAATCAAATTACTTTAATAACACAATTTTATAAAATAATTTTTTGTCATAGTATGTTTATATTTTCGTAAAATTGTTTTCAAAAAATTTTTCGATTTTCAATATTTTAAAACTTTTGAATACAGTTTTATTTTCAAAACATTCAAATATTTCAGTTATACATTTTTCAATATTTTTCCAAATTTTTTTTTTTCAATTTTCGGGTTTAAAAAATTTGATTTCTAATTTTTCAATATATTTTTAACTCATTTTTTTTTTAACATATTTTTACTAAATAATATCTTCCTCATATTATTTTTATTTATTCGTAAAATTTTGCACATTCAAGTATTTTGCAAATTATTTTATTTCTAATTAATTTTTTTTAAATTAATTTGTTTAACTCTATTTTTTTGTAAATTTCACTCATTCTTTCGCATAACTCCCACAATTCTCATTTCTTTTTTTACTTGATACACTCTTTCTTTTGCGCTCTCTCTTCACTATGTTTTACGATTTTTTCAAGTTTTTCGCCGTTTTACGCCTTTATCATGTACCTTATGCACTTGTGAAAAAGACAAAAAAATAAGTAAATAAAAACATGCTGACGCACATGCGCATTAAAATTCCAATGGTTTGCAAATCGAGGCAACAACAAAAAAACACGTTGGCTGCCCAATCTAGTCGGCGGTATGGAGGCCAATGCGTAAAAATCGCAAAAAAAAAATCGAAAGTACAACGAAAGTGCTGGACGGTATTTGGTTCACTGTTGATAAAAATTGTTGTCTTTTTAAATAAGATATTTTATATACTTATATATGTATGTATATATAGTTTTGTTTATTTAATTATTTAGCACAATTGGTTTCGGTGGATTTCGCAATGGTAAAGCAGCCGCACGGCATTGCGTATACGCAACTTGTTGAAGAATTTTCAACAAAAACAAAAAAAAAACATTTTAATAAATTTTTTTTTAAATACATATATGTCAGATTAAATATTTTTGCTCAAAATTTTTTCTTCAATTTTTCTTTTTTCTTTTATTTTTCTTTTATTTATTTTTTTTTTCTTATTTTTTGCCGCTCTTTCATAAAACTTTGCGCTTTGCACTTGTTTCTTTCTGTCTAACTTAGTTATTTATCACTTTATTTGTTTAAAATTTGCCTCTCTCTTCTCAAACACTTCACCACTCCACTTTACACCGCATTCACTTGTACTTACTTACAACTCTTTCTCGCTACGCGTTCGCACGTTGACTGAAATCGAAATTTTTAAATGTTTGCGATTCGGCCGAAAAACCCATAGCAGTTGCAGTAATAACACAAAAAAAGAAAAACATATGGAAACAACAACAACACTGACGTGCACACATACACATATATATATATACCTTTACTGCTGCAGTAAAAACTCTCGCTGGTTTTGTTTTTGTCATTGCCCATTTTATGGCAGTAGCATTGCGTTGCGTCGCTTCGTCTCTCCACATCAGCGTGTCGTCTACTGGCCTCGGTAAGTGACTCCAACAAAGCAAAGCAAGCAAGCAAGCAGCAAACTCGTACAACTCCAACAAAACGAAATCACGTAATGTCGTTGCGCATGCGCATAATGTACAGTGTGCCATTTTGCGATTTCACTGTATTAAAATAATTGTGAATATTCGTTGTAGCTCAAAGGCTATGCGTATATTTCTTGTCACTCTTGAAATCGCAGCTGATTGGGGTGAGTAACAAAGACTATCTCTAAGCCCCCATGAATCTGAGATTTATATCTTTACTGGAAAGACGAAAATTCATCAAGTCAAACCACCAACTTTAAGAGGCAGGATTTTTTTTCCCTCCGACTCTATTAAGTATCTTGGCGTAATGTAGGATAAAAAAAGCTTTGATATGAAATTGCACCAAATGGGACCTACGACCTGACTTAAAGTATCGGCTTTACTCAAGTGTCATTAGACCCACATTTAGATACATATGGAGCACTGGTATGTTCCTGTCGAGGACTACCTCAGCAAATGCTCCAGCAGTCATCCTTGACATTAGTAAAATTAATTTAAAAGCCATGTTGGAAGCAGCGTTAAAAGGTAGTCGCCTAATTGGGCCAGGAAATTGAGTCAAATGTGCCATTTGTACAGCGCATATGAGCCTTCAGAAAATTATATCATAACTCGGACTTAACGTAAAATGCGACCAAGAAGCGGAAGCCGAGTAAATGCCACTTACTCTTTCCCTAGCAAGGAAGATGGAGCACTAGGCGGCGGCTTAATTGGAAACAGTCTAGATATCCATATCCATACTGATGGATCTAAATACGAGGTAGCCACAGGAGCAGGCCTCTTCTGTGAACACTCCACTTACCAATGTTGCCTCAAACTCCATGACCACTACTCTGTATACCAAGCGGACCAGCTATTAAATGGGCAAAGATAGTAGACAGTCAAGCGGTACCAACGTAAAGTGAAAATGCGTAATAACATGCAAAGCGGTAAGAAATAGACTGCCGCGGGAGAACCCAACGAATATCACCTGAGTCCCAGGTTACACGGTTTTGAAAGGCAATGAAAATACGGACGACGCGGCCAATGTTGTAACCATCGACTGCTTAAGATCTTTCAGCGCCGGAGCATTTATTAACCAGCAAATTATTGTGTGACAGCGTGGATTCTAGACAGACTAAACAGTTACTAACTTAAAAAAAACGAAAGCTTAATATTTTTGTTAGTGTATCAGGTATCACTTCTACAAGCCAAGTAAAGTGGAATCGGCTGAGTGCAGAGCCTACCTAGAGGAGAACGAAACTTTGGAACAGTAGCTTTGCGAGTGCCCAGCCTTCGCCCGATTGATACTAAGCATCATTCATTTTTACGGAAGTGGGTACACATGGTTAGCAGAAATTAAACCGGTTCATCAAATCCAGTGAAATGTTCACAAGAGCCTAGTTAGGTTATGTGGGGCTTAAGTTGTGCCTTAAATGCGATCAGATGCTTAACATCCCCTTTCAACCAACCAAGCAGTGATGGCTTGAAAAGAAAAAAAAAGTACATAAACAGTTCATTGGATTCCTCATTTTGTATGATATTTAAACGCATTATAAAACTAATATTTTAAGCCGTAAAAGTAGAAGAATTTAGTGGCATTCATTGTCTCAAAATCTCTGTCTCCTCTTAAATTCCACGCCTCAACTCTCTACACTTAGTTGTAGAAGGGTCTGTTGAATGCATAAAAACAGATATCTCTTGGATTGAATGAGAGCTCGGACTTCTATCGGGCTAAAAATATGTCTCTCTTTTTTTCTTTTACCTCTCATCCGTTTACGCGATTCTACGCTATTCTTCTTCGCAGTTGGAAATATCAAGTGAAGCCAGGTCGCCCTGTACGTAGTACTGATGACAGCAGGTATTTCGCCTTGCCCTCGTTCACTATTAGTTCCAAACAATTCGCATCCCTCTCTAGTCTTCCAGTCTGGAGCAGGCAAAACTCATGGTACACTCTTTCAGAAGTTTGTACCTTCTGTAATCAGGCCTGCGGCTCGTATTGCTTTCTCTAGGCATAAATTAAAGGAGCAACGCGATAAGGACTTATCTGAAATCTCGCTTACTATCAAACAGCTTACAATCTCGATTATATTTTTCAGGTATCGAACTTGTAACAGTCCCACTGTGCAGTCATTGTACCGGCATTAAGTGTTGCCACAAACATTATGCATAGTATCGTGTATGTATGTACCAGTAGGTATATACGTTTTGCAAAATGAAACGTTGTCTGTGTTGCACTCTCGGTTGTTAATTTTTAGCGGCACATTTTTTTTTAGCTAATAATTAAATAACTCGTATTTGATTCACAAGTTGTTTTTGGTGTTTTGTATACTTGTTTTTTATTTGCGTTTATTTCGTTTCTTCTTTATTAGCCAACACAACGCTCACTCACACGTAATGCATGTTGCAACATTGCCGGTTTGCTGCGGACTCGGACCTGGACTCTATTCTTTATTTCACTCTCGCTTACAACAGTTTTGTGATTGGAGTTTTTAGTGTGTTGTACATACATATGAATATTCGTCGGAGTTTAATTATTTTGACTGATATTTTTTTTTTTTTTTTTTAATTTATTAATTAGTTAATTTTTTAGCTCGCTAAAATCATAATTCTGCAGATACAACTTTTGGAAATTTTTTTGCTTAATTTTTTTTTTTGAGATACCGCGATAATTTAATCAAATGTTAAAATATATTTATATAAAGGGTGTTTTTTTAAACATGTGGTTTTCAAGAAGAAAGAAAATACATTTATTTCAATGTCTTAGCCAAGAATTTGTCTTCATTATAAAGATACGTGTTTGCCTTTATGTTTTGAAAATTATTACGGATAAGTGACCGGCTGTCTCGAATAAATTCCAGCCGAGAGGCTCAATTTTCCTCAACCTTTTGCATCAATAGGTGCCGTACCCTGAATGTTCTCTTCCAAGGCGTCATTCATACCGGGCTTATCGTCGTAGACAAGTGACTTCACAGAACTCAACAAGAAATTGACCAGTAGGGTTAGATCCCGTCATCTAGGAGGTCACATCGACAACACCAGATAATACGCCCACCAAAAGTTTTCTTCTAAACATAAATTGACTGTTACGTTGGCTAAATTAGGCCAAAGATTATACACATCAATATTATCATAATGGCTCTAAAGGGTTTGAAAAAATATGGACCAGGTTTTGCCCTCCCTCTATGGGCACCACAAACAATGACTTTTTAAGGATGTAACGTCGTCTCAACAATGGTTTGTGGATTATCATAACTCATCGCTGAGCCAAATAATCTTATGAAAACCGCGCGTGCGACGCGCTTGATTGTCGTGCGACTTCAATTAATTTGCACAAGTTGGATTTTCTAAGCCTGCAAACTAAGATCTCTTCGCAAAATATTCCATAAAGAGGTTGGGGCTATTAGAGCTATCTTGCGAGCGATGTCTGATGGATTCATGCTGGCTTTCTTCAATACTCTGCTCAACAGCAACAAAAGTATCGTCGGTGCACACTGTACGACATCTCTGAGGATGCGCATTGCCCACTAGAGTAAACGTGGTGTGAAACCAATCCCGGGTTGTTCAAATTATCGACGCTGCTTTGCGATTATGTCGACCGAATCGGGGGTCATTATTTGGTAGTAAATTTTGTACTCGGTGATGGCAAACCCAACCGAGTGAACGAGTAGGTCAAATAAGAACTATCAAAAAGACCAACTTCGGAAAAAATATTGACGCATTGAAAACCACACGTCCGAAAAAACACCCTTTGTATATACATCTGTATTTGTGTATTTTATTTAAATTTTATTTTATTTCTGCAAAATTGAAAAAAACTGCTTACAATTTCATTAGTGTGTTCATTGAATTATCAGCGTTTTGTTTAATGAATTTGTACATATGTATGTAAGTACGAGTATAAAGAATTTTATTAAATTACATTTTGTGGCTAACTTTGCGTGTCTTATTTCACTGCTTTGCCTTCTTAATAGACTTTTATGCTTTTTCACGTGATTATTTGTACTTTTATGCACTTAAAACTTACACTTAGTACATCAACGTACATTAATATACGAGGGGATTAACAAAAGTTCGGCTAGTTGACCAGAAAAAAAAAAAAACAAAAAATTCTTTTTGTATTTATTCATAATCTTCGTCCTTTTTTATCTTCATTACATAATCGCCATTGATTTCAATGCATTTCTTAAGCCATTTTTAGATCCTCTTCTGAAAACAGTCTTCAAAATCTTGCTTTTTAAGCTGATCAAGTTCAGCATTAACCGCATGCAATATCTTCTCGTTGCTATTAAGGGCCTTTTCTTCTAATTTTTTTAAATTTTGGAAATAAGCAGACATCACAAAGTGTATAGCATCCGGCGAATATGGTGCTGGAGGTATTTCTTCGAACCCAGAGATCGCAATAAAATTAACCGTTATTTCGGCAGTGTGAAAAGGCGCGTTTTCATGATGTAAAAAGTAGCGCCGCAAATCCTCTTTCTTCTGGTTTTCCCACAAAGTTTTGAAAACTTTTCGGTATACCATTTCGCAGTTACCGTATATCCCTTTTTCAGTGGAATTGCAGCTACGATTTTAGATCAGGTGAAGCAAACTGACATCATTACTTTTGCTGCTGATTTTTGTTACTTAAATTTTACGGGTAGGTTTGCTACTATTAGGCTTCATACCATGGACTGATGATTGGTTTCTGGATCGTATTTATAGTACCAATATTCGTCACCAGTAATGACTTTACTAAAGTTG